TATATTGATCTAGCTCTTAGCGTAGATAGTTTGATATATATCATGTCAAATATATCGAAATGACTAAACGGGGACGATTAACTTCATTTATTTTTCGCGTTTTGATACCGTTTAATACTTTATATTTTCAACACATAGAAGCCTGCTCGCACTGGTGCATATTGAATACGGGTTTTTTTTAATGATTTTATAATATATGTTGATGCCTTTTAGAGGAAGATCGGAGTTCAAACTCGGGTATTTCAACCTCATTCGCGATAGTAAAATCTACAATCTACATTGGGGGTTATTCATAAGCATTGGCCTAACTGACAATGTTATGCTCCTATGTGTGTCGAATTCTTCATTGCTCTTGATACTGATCTTGTATTGCTGTACTTATTCAGGGTTTGTAGACAGCACATTTTTTATTTATTGTTTAACCACTTCTCAGTTGACATTGATCATCGGCAGGTGTGATATGCCCTTTCAAAGTATTACTACGATGCCCAGTACCGGAATGTGTATCAATATCTTGAATCGTGACCTTTATTTGTCATTAAACTGTGTACAATATCTCAGCTATCTGAGTTTACACTTATCTATTATTTATGTATTGTATTTAAACGACGGCATGTATATATATAGTCAATTCATGCATTCTTTATATGCGTACTTATGTAGTCAATATCTATGCAAGGCGATCTCATCGGTAGTTGCCTATAAACTTATAAATGTATATTCTGATGGATACCAATGTAGGTATTAATCAGTGTGTACTTGCTTGTTTGGTGTGCATTGCACTATATCGAGCGCTAAAAACACTACATCACACGTTACGGCTACAGGAACGCCAATTGGAACGGTTGGACAGTCTTATTGGCCGTGGGAAGGGTCCACCTGCAAAGGGTAAGCTATACAGCAACTGTCGCTTACACAAGTGGCCATTGTGAACTCATTGATCTACTTTCAAAAAAAGAAAAACAATCGTAAAGATGAATTTTCGATTTACTTGTGTATGTGCGAATCAAGTACTTTCGTGCGAACCATCTTAGTATGCGTTGGCTATGCCCCCGAAATGTTGCAATCTTCTTTCTCTATCACCACCAGTGTTCTGTAATGCAACCGATCCTTTGACTGAGAAATCGTCATTGTTGTTGAGATGGACACAAGCTCGTTACGCATACTCACGCATCTAAGCAGCACACTCTGCAAATGGACAAATGCCACTTCCATACATACTCATATTCGTATCTCTGTGTGCATTTACTATGAACTCAAATACGACCCTTGGCTTCCAGCTGATGATGAATTGCACATTTTTCTCCTTGTCGTTGCCTATCAGGAAAGGGAAAGCGAGCGACACTTGCAGAGAAGAAGAAGAAGAAATAGAGCACTTCGCAAAACTACACGGCTGCATAGGCGTGGTTGGTATCGGTTTAACATTAAATCATGTACAGCACCGTGTGATCATGAGATCTGTTGAAAGCGAAACGTACTATTCTATGAGGCTACATCGCTCGACATTATTGATGGATAAGTATTTGAAAAAATAGCAGTGTGTACTATTGGATAATGTTCAGATTGATTTTAATTAATTTGTATATGCACGGAGGTAAAAATGGTAGCATGCCGCCATCACGCTTCTATTTCTATAAATCGGTTTTGTACAGAAGCTGTGAACTGCTGGCAGGTATCTAAAAATATATAGCCTCTTGATCGTCTTTAATTAGTGCGTTTCGCCCAATATTACGGTAACCGGACTCTACTTGATTGCGGGCGCGGATAGTGTGCGCTGATGAACATTCGATAGGTTATGTAGGTATGCTGTGCTTTGCATGCCTTTATCCGAACGTGAATAACAATCACGTGTTATTCGCGATGGAAGTAGGTTCTGCATACAGATCTAGAACATTCATGAGCCACGGTGGGATCAATTCCCTAGGAAATAATAAAGAAAGGAGCGAAAGTAATCAGCGGATATCTATATATATATAATAAAGCGAAAGCTATCAGCGGATATATATATATATATATACGAAAGACGAAAGTTATCAGCGGACAACTATATATACATATATACATTACATAAAATAAACATACACACACATATATATATATATATAAACATGTATATATATGTATATAAATATACATACATATGTATATAAATATTTATACAGAAGTATATTTCATATGTCATACACACACACACACACATATATATATATACATACATACATACAAATACATATATATGTATATACATGCACACACATACGCGCAAATAAACATGAATATAAATATATGCGCATATATATATATACATAAACATATACATACATACATCCATATTCAATAACAATAACAATAATATCCTTATTATATAGTAGTAAAGTAATATATATATATATATATATATAGGCATATGTAAGTATGTACCTTTCTTCATATATGTATACATACATATTATACATATATAGATATAAATATATATATACACAATATATATGGACAAATGTATGTCCGTACCTTTATATATATATATATAAATACAAATACACACAGACACAGACACATTATATATAAATTCGCTTTATCACAAGCATCTTTGCAGGCGCATCCGCCACGGCTGAAGAAGTAAGCGGAAGTACTGAGGGGACGTGCGGACCACGAGTTAGCTATGATTAAATGCCGGCAAAAGAGAGTATCGGGAGACGAAACCAAAGGTGCAGAATCAATTGTAAAAAATAAGTCTCCGCTACGATGGGAGTATAAGTCATGCCTAGCAATAAAAGCTATTAATATACTACGGGTACATACTCAATTCATACATGTGAGCACACGCATAACGAATATTTTACCGCGCAACCCAGTGGATATACCTCGCTTCTGGCGTACTAGCGATCTTTCCGATTATATTCTTTGCCGCGGTACTCTCCGCGACCTCAGATTTACCGTCTGCAAAAAGATTGACGATGAATTTGATGAGCGTCGAATCTAACGAACATGGTCGATCGATGACTATAGATGGCGATCTTGACATCATAATTTGCTTTATGATGTACGTACTAAGTGAGACAACTTTCACTATCGGCAAACAAGTTTACACCAAGCCCCCAATCTATTATAAGGATAAGAGGACTACTGATGGCTTAGACGCTTATACATGGGCTATATAGTACTTATATATACAAACGCATCTAATATATATATATATATATATATGTATTTACATATCCACACACACCAAACACAGACACATACACATACACGCACAGACACAGACACACATATATATATACTTATCCATAAAAATACCATAAAAATACACAAATACACACACACATATATATATATATATAAATGCATTATGCAATATCGTTTACGCCCACTCCATATCTATATATATATATATATGGATATAAACATCTACATCCACATCATATTTATCAATATAGATACAAATAATTATTACGTACACACTACACACATACACACACATATATATATATATATATATATATATACATACACACATACACACAACATATACATATATATACAAATATATATATAAATAATTATATAACTATATAAATATATACACACACACACATATATATATCTATATATAAACACACACTCTCTCACACAGACACAGACGCAGACACACACACACACACATATATATATATATGATATACACATGTGAATTGATGAACATGAATGTTTCTATACATGATATATACACATACACATACATACACACACACACACACATATATATATATATATTTGTATATACATACATATAATATATATATATATATATATACTATTTATATAATATATATAATATATATAAGTACATATTATAAATTTATATATAGATACATATATATACATACATATACATATACATATATATATATATATATATATAAATAGATATGTAGATACATACATAGATATATATATACATAGATAAACATGCCTACATACATACATACATACTTACACACATATATACATACATACATAAATAGATATAATATAAGATTATAATATGTCGAGTACGCGTATGTGTTGTAAAAGCCACCTTTTTCATGCATTTTCTGCTGCGCCGCTAACTCCTTCTGTAATTCCACGATTTCAAGTTCCAAAGCTTCGCACATTCGGGTTTTTTCGCGAATAGCCTGCCGAAAATTCATTAAAAATGTGAGTTAGTTATGGTGAAGTAAATAGACAGCAATTGATATCATGTGGTTCTTCAAATGTAATGACGCATTCCATTGATGCATTCCAATTGGAATGTTCCCGACCGGGCTCAACAATGTAGAACAGTCGATTTCATGAAGAACTGATTGTATCTTTTACTATTCCCAGACATTGAAGGAGAACAAAGGTGCCGAATAGCTGGTGCCTACTAGCTTCTATCATGGATTGAGTGTCAATATAAAGTGACCGTTTGTAAAAAGCCCCACGGGTCGAAAAAATACGACAGGGGGACCGTTTCAAAAGAAAGCACTATTTAAACAACTGATGTTATACAGTACTCTCTTATCGCCTATTACATACGTATGTCCTATTGTTCACTTAAGTTCATTGCAATTCTTTAGGAGGAGGGCTGTATACTTACAGGGGTTGTATACACGTTGGACGGTAAAAACTCGACAGAAAAGATGCTAGATGCACGTGTAGGACAAACACAACAAATATATACACTGACATTCACAACAAATACCTCGCTAACGTATTTATATTCATCATTATTGCCGTCGCCGGGACGCCTATCGCTGCTCGGTGAGTCCATCGTGAAGGGCCACAGATATTTTGCTATACTACTTCGCTGTGAACAACAATAGTATATTACACAACACAGAATTTTTACACTGACTTTTATTTCCTAATAAAAATACATATATATATATGAAAAGAAAACGCCAAATAAAAAAAATTGTGCCGGTACATAGTTCTGAAAATTAAACTGCCAGTATAAATATGTCACCGTCACAGACTGGATTTATAAATACATTACAAGAAGTCTGAGTCTGGACTATAGAAAGTGAACATACGATGGGCATTCAATTCAGCGTTATAATTCAGCGTTATAAATATATAGAGTAATATGGATGTCTAATAAATAACGACGAAGCTTATGGAATCTAATAAATAACGACGATTATGGATATATACGCTGTCCTGCACTGCCAAAAAGTTCGCTGTTGGTCCGAGTCCTGAGACTTCTTATGTCACTAACATTCGTTTCCCTATTGCTCAGTTGGTATTATACTCGAGGAGGCAGCGAAAGCGGGTGAAAAATTCAGTAATATAAACCGACGTTATACGCTGCACCCACCAGCCGTGTGAAAGTCGAACTAGTGTTCCTAACAAGTGACTCATTGTGATACCAATTCGGACCTTCTCTGGGTCTACGCAAGGCGCTTGTTAAAAACACTCTTCTGATCTGGACAGCAGTTGCCTTTAATAATTCGAACTAGTTTGTGTCCTCCACGGTATCGTCACGATTATGAGACTTTTTAATTATTTTCCTTTCCCTCCTTTATTATAAAGCAAAACTTATAGCCGTGTGTGCGTGTAACGTACATTGGAAAGAATAATTTTTGACCTGTCTCTTGAGGAATTAATAGGACAACGAACGTATACGAGGGACCCATCCATTTCAAAGAGGTTAATTTCAAGGGCTGAAAACAAAATATCGCAGCTCACATAAGATGTGTATTCAATGATCATATACACTCTGTCTGCAAACATCACTAGTTTAATGTAATATTAGTATACAGATATACATGGGAACCTCAACGAATATGAATAATCAGTTTTCTGATCATATTCTGCGATATGCTATATAGTCAGTTCGTGCAGCGGAGATTGGCACACGGGCGGAATAATTGCGGCAATAGCAGTATTTTATTAGAAAGCCTCACAGCCATCAGGTCAGCTTGAAATCGCTACGTTTAAACACAATGTCTTCAAATCGAAAGTATAATGTGTACTGGTCTGTAAATATAGGGTTTTATAACATATGTATGTTCATTTTAGCCCCCTGAAAAAGAACCAGTATGTTTGATTGTAAATAGTAAATACAGGGCAAAAGTCCATTTTACCTAAAATGACACATAAGGTCACCAACTCACCACATGTCCAGAATGTCGTTTTGGTAACCCATCGCTTGTGGCAAATAACTTCATAAAGTTAAAAGTTAAAACTTTTATTTTTGTAAGTTCTATACGTTTAAAAAGGACCTTTTATACTTACATAAGCCCTTCTTAAATTCTGTGGGTGCAATGTACAGGTCAGTGCATATATATATTTTGTCCTGTTTTTAGGCGCTAACTACCAAACGCTAACTACCAGCAGAGTGATTGAACATTCCTGATTAGCTAAAATACTTTAGGGTTAAATTTTCAAACATATAGGACAACTTTTCAAGTGCGAAATTAAAAATCATACATAATATTTTGTCCCAAATAAAAAATATAACTTTTATATTCCAAAAAGTGACAGTTAAAGGTTTAACGTTTGTACAGTGACCCCATTACGTTATGAGGTTCAGGGGGGAGGTATATATATATAAATATATAAATATATATAAATATATAAATATATAAATATATAAATATATAAATATATAAATATATAAATATATAAATATATAAATATATATAAATATATAAATATATAAATATATATAAATATATAAATATATAAATA